ACTAATAAGCCATCGAAGTCAAGTAGTTGGTATGGAGTCCGGGAAATCCACACTCTGAGCTTGGTTTCCGGAATCGTCACGTAACCTACTTGTTCCCCTATTTCTCTAGCCTCCTAAAGAGCCAGGTTTTCCAGAAAGCATTTTGAAACCTTCAAGGTGAAAGGTACAAAGGAGCCAGATTATGATGTTACCTTTGTGCTGAAGTCCCACATGTTCATTTGCATTCTCCTGTCCAGAGCTATGATGGTTATTGATTGAGGATTGGTTCCGAAGACATTGCCCGCCCCCTCCTCATTAGCATATGCTTAGCAGTGACCTCCAATCACACAGGACAGTGGATTGTTGCTTCCTGCTGAGTCTGAAGTAATTGGGTTTCAACCATACACACAGATTTAGAAAAGAAGTATGTAAATGCAGAAGTGTTTCCAGTGACTTGACATGAAGTTTGCCTTGTGTCATCCACCATTTCAAAAAACATCAGGCAGTGATGCAGCATGATTTCGCTTCCTCCTTCCTTCATCTTTTTACCTGTTTATAGCATTTATGCCTAAAGCCAAGGTTGTATCATGAATCTACAAATCTAGAAGGGGACTGCGTGAGGTGACATGCAGTGTCGTGGTCTGTTCTTAACAGGAAAGGTGGTTTCCTCAGCCATTTTAAAAATCAACTGAATGGGAGGGGGAGCCTGGCTGGTCTAGTTGGTTAAACATCTGATTCTTGATTTCCGCTCAGGTCATGATCTCAGGGTCATGGGATTGAGCCCCGCATTGGGGTCTATGCTAAGCATGGAGCCTGCTTGTTCCTCTTCCTCTGCACCTCCCCTGCTTCTCACCCATGCACGTGTGTGCGCTCTCTCTCTCTCTCTCACACACAAATAAATAAATAAATAAAATCTTTAAAAAAAACGGAATTGGTGGGGGCACATGGCTGGCTCAGTCGGTGCTGCATGTGACTCTTGATCTTGGGGTTGTGGGTTTGAGCTCCACATTGGGTGTAGAGGTTACCTTAAAAAATAAAATCTTAAAAAAAAAAATCAACAACATGGGGCCTTGCTTTTAAGAAATACCACTCATTCTTTCTGAGCTAGTTCACTTTTCAAGGCCTGGCCCTTATCGTACGGTTCTTTCTAGAGGTGGGAGAGAGCTGTTTGGTACTGAGTTACTAAAAGCTGCTTACACACTTGAAAGGTGTCAGTCTCCCGTCGATTCCCTTTCCCAGGAGGAAGTGGCTTTCTGCACCCCCCTTCTCACACACTGTTGCTCCGGTCTTCTTACTGTCCTTGTTACTTAGCGCTGGGCCTTCTGTGGTTTTCCCTCCCTTCAGCTCCAAGTCTGAAGCTGGAGGACATTCTCTGAGGAAAACCAGATAGGTTCCTCAGTACAGTTACTCCCTGCCTTTTATAACTTACACATTGGTGTTCACTTTTTAACAAATGGCATTATGTTGTCTCTTATCTCTTGTGAGCCCCTGGTTTTGAGCTGATATCGTCATGCTGTGAGTGGAGAGTTAATCTCCCTCTTCTCCCAAGAGAACATAGCTTGTATATGTCCCTGATCTAATGGATATGTAATTTAATTTATCATGCCCAATGGATACGAAGTCCAATACAAAGCTCTTAATAGATAGTTTTGCATCTCAGCTATTGTATTATACCTCCCCAGTGTAATTGGGTGGTGAGCACAGATGCTGGTATGATTTTATTCTCAGAGGATGTGAGCCAGACCCAGCTCTGTTGGTGCTGTGGGTTGACATCATCACAGCGAGCCTCCACTGGTGGGGAGAGTTCGTCCCACTGAGAGAGGGCATTTCTGCAGAGCAGGCCCATGATGGCCCAGTACGAGCGTAGTATGTGCCAGCCACCGTGCTAAGTACTTAGTGTCGGTGATTAGTAAACCTTGAAAGTTAAAAGTTCCATTTGGGCCAGAAAAAGAGAAGACTCTCTTTCAGAGGAACGTGTCCAGGAAAAAACGGAACTGATAGGTTGCCTGGTGTGTCCGACCGTAGCAAGAGAAGTTTTAGAGTCAGGTAGAGAGTTCGGGGATAACGCGGATAACATTGTAGTAGGCACAGAGAAGACTAACCTAGTGAAAATCAAGGCAAAACAGGAAGCTGTACAAATGAATGTATGTACTCGTGGGCCCCTGTGTGGCTACTTAAAATACATGCAGGTATTCGGGGCGCCAGGGCGGCTCAGTTGGTCGAGTGTCCAGCTCTTGACATCGGCTTGGGTCATGATCTCAGGGTCGTGCACTCAAGCCCTGCGTTCAGCTTCATGCTGGCCATGGAGCCTGCTCAGGATTCTTTCTCTGTCTCTGTCTCTCTCTCTCTCAAAAATAAATAAATAATATCTATGCAGAGATTTTAGAATGTACACACCAAATACAGACTTAAGCAAAAATTATGATGTAACTTGAATTAGAGTCCAACCAGCAAGATAGGAATTCAGGTATTTAAATCCAAGAGAATTCAATCCAGGGAATTAGTTATGTAGGTAACTGAAGTGAGAAGCCAAACAGGAGACAGCGAGGCTACTGCCATCCCTAGACCAGAAGGGCAGAGGGAAGAGCCTCTGTATTGGAGCCCAGTGGCCAAGATGGTGACAGCTAAATTCTGATCTCTGTAGAAGAAAGTCACTAGGTCATGCTTAAAATGAAAAAGCATCCTTGCCACAGCAGTAAGACAGCAAAAAGAAAAGGCACCCAAACCAGCAAGGGAGCAGTAAAACTTGGACTATTTGCAGATGACATGATACTATATATAGGAAACCCAAAAGACTCCATCAAGAAACTGCTCGAACTGGTACATGAATTCAGTAAAGTCACAGGATATAAAACCAACATACAGAAATCTGTTCCATTTCAATATACCAGTAATCGAGCAGCAGAAAGAGAAATGAAGGAATCAATCCCATTTGCAGGTACACCAAAACCAGTAAGACACCTAGGAATAAACCTAGCCAAAGAGGGGAGGGCCTGTACTCTGAAAGCTAGGAAACACTGATGAAAGAAATTGAAGAAGTGGAAAGACACTCCATGTTCGTGGATTAGAAGTGTCTGTACTGCCCAAGGCAATCTACACATTTAATGCGGTCCCTATCAAAATACCAACAGCGTTATTCACAGAACTAGAACAAACAATGCCAGCGTGTGCGTGGAACCACAGAAGACCCTGAAGAGCCAAAGGTGTCTTGAAAAAGAAGAGAGAGCTGGAGGTGTCCCAATTCCAGACTTCAAGTTCTATTACAAAACCACAGTAATTGGAGCAGTATGGCACTGGCACAGAAGTAGACACGAAGATCAATAAAACAGAATAGAAATTCAGAAATGAACCCACAGTTAGAATGGACAGTGAGTCTTCGACAAAGCAGGAGAGAAGATGCAATAAGGAAAAGACTGTCTCTTTAACAAATGGTGTGGGGAAAGCTGGACAGAACATGCAAGAGAATGAAACTGGACCATTCTCCTTCACCTTACACAAAAGTAAATTCAGAATGTATTAAAGACCAAAATGTGAGACCTGAAACCATAAAAGCCCTCGAAGACAGCGTAAGCAGTAATTTCTCTGACGTCAGCCATAGCAACTTTTTTCTAGATAGGTCTCCTGAGACAAGAGAGACCAAAGCAAAAATAAAGTGCTGGGAGTACATCAAAGTAAAAAGGTTCTGTACAGTCAAAAGAAACAGCCAATAAAACTAAAGGGCAGCCTATGGAATGGGAGAAGGTATTTGTAAATGACATATCAGATAAAGGGTGAGTAACCAAAATATATAAAGAACTTATAAAACTCAACACCCAGAAAAAGAATAATCTAATTTAAAAAGTGGGCAGAAGACATGAATAGACATTTTTCCAAATAAGACATCCAGATGGCCAACAGACATATAAAAACATGCTCAACATCACTGATCATCAGGGAAGTACAAATCAAAACCATGTAAGATACCCCCTCACGCCTGTCAGAAGGACCAAAATCAACAACACGAGAAATGACAGGTGTCGGCAAGGGTGTGGAGAAAGGGGAACCCTTTTGCACTGTTGGTGGGAATGCAAACTGGTGCAGCCACTCTGGAAAACAGTATGGAGGTTCCTCAAAAAGTTAAAAATAGAGCGCCCCTACCATCCAGCAATCTCACTACTAGATATTTACCCAAAGAATACAAAAATGCTAACTCAAAGGTATACACACACCAGGGCGTTTATAGCAGCATTATTTACAATAGCCAAATTATGGAAGCAGCCCGAGTGTCCCTCAGTTGATGGATAGAGGAAGAATGGATAAAGGAAAACACACACACACACACACACACACACACACACACACACACACACTGGAATATTATTCAGCTGTAAAGGAGAACGAAATCTTGCCATTTGCAACGACATGGACGGAGCTCGAGAGTACTATGCCAAGTGAGATAAGCCAGAGAGAGACAAATACCATATGATTTCACTTATATGTGGAATTTAAGAAATAAAACAAATGAGCAAAGGGGGAGGGGAAGGGGGAGACAAACCGAAAAACAAACTTGTTAACTATAGGGAACACACTGCTTGCCGGTCACCAGAGGGGAGGTGGGGGGCGCTGGGCGAAACAGGTGGTGGGGATTCAGAATTGCTCTTGTGAGGAGTGGTGGGGGTCGTACAGAATTGTGGAATCACGGTGTTGTACACCTGCCAGTGGTATCATGCTGTATCTGAACTAACTAGAATTTAAGTGAAAACAAAAAAATAAAATGAAATGAAAAAGCAAGAACTGGCATTAAAAACATATCATATAGAAATATGGCAGTAAATACCAGAAGAAAGCACTAAAAACTGGTTGGCCTGAAAAGGAGGAATGAGGGAGTAGTATTTTTTGTAAAGACACTTGTAAATCCCACTTGCCTTCTTGACTGCATCACACTGATGAGCAGCTGAAGAGGGAAGCCTTCAGGACACTGTAGCTTCGGGTTCTTTGACTGAGGTCCCGTTCAGACGTGTGCATTTCTTTTTCCCACTCAGGTATGTTGATGACGTGATCAGCCGCATTGACAGGATGTTTCCTGAAATGTCCATCCACTTATCCAGGCCCAATGGCACATCAGCAATGCTTCTGGTAAGTTCTGCTTGACCTGTCTGTAGGGCCACGTAGAAGACTGGCCTCAAGATCAAGTCTCCAACTCTGTGTCATAGGATCCAAGAATGGAGACGAACTCCCCGTCTGATGGTGAATAGCGTGTTTCTCTTCACTGTATCCTATAGTTTCAGAATTCTGCACATTGAAACCTGGCTTTTGAATGAAACTGTAGAGCCCATGTGAGAATCACCCAGAGAGGAAATACACTGTAAGACCCTTCTGCCCATCAGTCAGTTCAGGATATTTTGGTGAATCTTTTCTGTTGCCTCAAAGGTATGCCCAACTGTTGCATCCTGCTAAGAAAAACACCATCTTAAAATAGAACCAGGTTCAGGGCTCCTGGTGGTTCAGCTCCTTGAGCGTCTGACTCTTGATTTTGGCTCCAGTCGTGATCTCATGGGCCATGAGACTGAGCCCCATGTCAGGCTCCACACTCAGCGCAGAGTCTGCCTGACGCTCGCTCTCTCCCCGCCCCCGGCCCCTTCCCCACTCACTCATGTGCTCTCGCTCTCTCTTTCTCTCCCAAATAAATAAAATCTAAAAAAAAAAAAAAAAAAAAAAAAACCCAAAAAACGTAGAACAGATTCTGTGGAACGTCACTTATAAAATCCATTGTGTGCTTGAAGCAAGTGTTCTGGGACCTTATCCCTGAGGAGTTCCAACCTTGTTTCTGGTTTTGACTTACTCTGAGCAAGCTGGCCTCCCAGCAGCACCAGCAGTGTTTGCCTTTCCGTGACTTCACCAAAGGCAGGTGTGACTGGGAGATACGCTGGGACAGAAATGCTGAATTTGACCAGTCATCAGGAAGGCACGGAGAGCTCAGGGGTGTGAAGCTTTTCTAGCACTTTCTGTGATGTGTGCTTGAAGAAGACTCCTGAACGGATTTTGAGGAGCCCCACATTTTACAAAAAACAGAATTAATTGAATCAAGAGTGGTGCTTTTCCACGGGCACCAGTGAGGTGAGCTTCAGGACTGAGTGTTTCATGTCTTGGTAGCTGCTGTCGCTCGGGCCCCTCGCAGACCCCCCAAACCTCAGCGTTTCCCTCGGCACCGTCTTATAAAGAGCCAGTCCCCCAGGACGAGCTGCGACTCCCTCCAGCCGTTCTGCTGAGCAGAACAGCCTTGCCGTGCGTGTGCATGTGCGTGTGGCTTTCTCCTAAGAAAGGAAGAGATGTGGGGCGCCTGGGGGGCTCACTGTGTTAAGCGGCTGCCTTCGGCTCAGGTCATGATCCCGAGGTCCTGGGATCGAGTCCCACATCGGGCTCCCTGCTGAGCAGGGAGCCTGCTTCTCCCTCTGCCTCTCCCTCAGCCTCTGCCTGCCGCTCTGCCTGCCTGTGTGCTCTCTCTCTCTGACAAATAAATAAGTAAATCTTTAAAAAAAAAAGAGAGAGAGAGACAGGAAAAGATGTGGGTTTATTAAATGGGTGATATCTCTTTCGTGAGAAAAAAATTAGCATCTGGGCATCGTGCTACCTTAAATTCTTTCAGTTAAAAAATACAGTGAGTGAGGTAATACAGTGTTCTTTTTTTTTTTTTAAAGATTTTTATTTATTTATTTATTTGACAGAGAGAGAGAGAGAGATCATAAGTAGGCAGAGAGTCAGGCAGAGAGAAGTGGGGAAGCAGGCTCTCTGCTCAGCAGGGATGCTGAGGCAGATGCGGGGCTCGATCCCAGGACCCTGAGATCATGACCTGAGCCGAAGGCAGTGGCTTAATCCACTGAGCCACCCAGGCGCCTCTACAGTGTTCTTTTAATAGAAAAGGAAAACAATTCGTATCTGTCTACAAAGCACGTAATATCTTCTGCCTCAGTTAAATGCACAAATTGTCGAAATTTTGAGATCCTCCAGACCCAGCAGCTAAAACATAAATCCTGCTCTCAGCGTACTTGACAGGGACCAAGGAGTTAATGAAGATAAAAATGAGAGCATCCTCGGTGAAATAGGTTTGTTCAAATTATTTCTGGGTCGTTGAGCTTCCATTTCCTGGCGGAGGTGGGGATTTGGCGTTGAAGGGAGACAGCGGAGGGAGCAGGGTCGTAGGTAAACCGGGAACAGGTCTGAGATGAGTTACTTCCAAACCCGAGGAGGCGGCCTGTTACCTCACTGCGACTGTCGCCCCGTCTGCTTTCCCACGGAGCTGCTGTTTTGACAGCCCATGGAGGAGTTTAGGGGCTCGATTCAGGGGAGGAGCCCCATTCGACACGTGCATTGCTACCCCCGTGCGTGCCCATCTCAGAACGCGCTCTGCTTCTCGCCAGCGAGCTGCCGCCTTCCCCAGGGGACGCAGAGGTCACACGAGGTGGGGCAGTTCAGAGGAGGAGCAGTGGGGGAGCTGATTCGGAATCAGCCCGCGGGGTGGGTAACCATGATTTTAACATAACCGCTCGCGTTGGCTGCTACTTTCACAAGATGGCATTTTATCAGGCCGCGCACCTCTGGCCCATTTGCTGCTGCACGAGGGCGCCTTCTGCCAGGCCTGAGGGAGTTCTCGCCGGGCGGAGAGGCAGGGCCAGCCGCTCCCTGCCTGCCCGCGCTCGGCCACGGCTGCCTGTGCCCAGCGGAGGGTGCTTGGGCCCAGCACCCTAGGCAGTGAGGGCACCCACGGGAGGTGCGGGCAGGAGTTGGAAGGGGTGTGTTCCGGAGATGAGTCTAGGTGGATTGTATACGTCTGGAGTCCAGTGTATTCTGGAAAGCTTCGGGAGGTGAGCGAGAGCGACCAGGACAGACCGTTAGGGCTGGTGACGCAGGACACACAGGAGCAGTCTCTGCTGACACCTTGTACCTGCTTCGGGTAAGGTGCAGAGTACACCCGTGCCTTTTAGTAAAATGACATTTCCTCCTGAGTCAGCCAGGCTTCCTGGAGCGCAGACAACAGAAACCTGCTCTGATTAGCTTAAGCAAGAAAAGGGTTCGTTTCTGTCTTTGTTTTGCTTTCTAATGATGCTGGCTGCTCACAGCCCGGAAGGTAGAGGTGATCTGCCAGGAGGGACAAAAACCAGGGCAGCCCTGGGGCGTCCAGAGCAGGATGACGGCCCTGTGGGGACCCTGTGGCCCAAATGACTCAGCAGCCCCTGCCTTCCATCCCGTGCCCATGCTACAACCCGGGCGGAGCGCTCCTGCCAGGCTCTCCTGAGCTTGTTTGTCTGCGAGGGGAAGGAAGTCATGCCGTGGTGGCCCCGCGGAACTGCGTGGGGTAGAGGTGGTCATTCCCCGTAGGAGAGAGGCAGGGCTGGGAAAGCGGCAGTCTGCCTGGTAAGGGAGACGTCCACATGTCCTGTTACAAGTCTCCAGGGTCCTTTGCTCCTCCCGTCGGTTACAGCTCTCGGTGGCGGCAAGTAAGATTTGGACTCTACTGGGCGCTGAGCTGGCAATTTCTTCTTAAAGTGTTATTATGTCATTTCATATACACAAACGAATGTTTATAATGTGTCGATTATAAAGCATAACCATAACCCCAGGAGCTCACCACTCAAGAAGCAGAGCATAACCAATCTGTGCCTCTTCCCAGTCCCTGCCTCTCCACCCATAGTCACCACCATCCTGATAATCGACCTCTTCCCTTCCTTCTTTAAACGCCTTTTACCAGCTGCGCATGCTTTCCTAAATAATACACAAATTAGTTTTGTGGAATTCTGAACCTTATAAAAATAGTGTCATACCGTGTGTATTGTTTCCCCTTCCTCCCTCTCTCCCTTCCTCCTTCCCTTCCTTCCTTGTGTGTGGTTTCTGGGGTGGATCCCGAGTCAGCCAGGACACACCTGCTGGGGCTCGTACCTGCTAGTTGGGTCATCTTCACTGTTACGTAATGGTCCATTCTGTGACTGGATGCACTGTGTTCTTTCTCTGTGTGTGTTTGGGTTGTTTCCAGTTGTGCTTTCTGAGTAGCGGGGACCTGAGCGTTTTGGCATCAGAATGCAGGTGGCTGTTTAGCCCAAGCTCCGGAGCCGGTGTAGGCCCCCATCGGGAGGAGGGGGGGAGTGCTGGGAGCAGAGCAGAACAGACCGCTTTTTCCTCGGGGCCACTCGAGCTGTGGAATGCGATGGCGTGATGCCCACAATGGCCTAGGTGGGGGCCCGAAAACAGCTCTGGTAAAGTGACCTGTCTTCTGCCGTCAGCACATTCTGCTGACTTGTTCCAGATCTCTTCCGGTTTGGGTGTGTGAGTACCTGCCGGGGGGGGGGGGGGTGGTTCCATACACAGTAAAACAACGTAAAGTCATCGAACTCCAGGGCATCTGTGAACAAAAGGCAAGTGTGGTGTTCCATTCTGATCCTCCCTCCCTGCTAACCCCCAAGCAGCCACCAAGAAGCAGCGGAGGGCCTCAGATGTACAAAGATCTGTAATCGGGAGACACAGTCTGGCATCAGGTTTCTTCGCAGTGAAGAAGGGGGAAAGGGAGGGTGCAAGTTTGGTACTTTTCTAGGGGATTGGGGTCACTTTGGCTCATCCAAAGCAAAACCAACCTTTCTTTGTTGGCTGTAGGCATCAGGGCTTCTGAACCCACTAGAACCATTAGGGGCAGCCAGCTTCCGGCCTGGGCGCTGCATTCGACTTGAAGTACGTGTATGTATCCCTTTCACATGTGTGGACCCCCAGATGGTGCATCGTGGGAGAGGCGGCTAGAGGAGGGAAGGGAGGACTCGTAGGTGCTCAGGGAGTGTCTGCTGCGTAGATACGCGGATGACAGAGAAAAGCATCTTTTTTCTTCCGTGTGTATCAGTTTGTCCATCTTGGCTGCAGGAGACCTGCTGCTCAGGGGATAGGCAGCAGCTCTGGTGCTAGTTTGGTTCCAGACTGTCAGAATCATTATCGCCCTAACTTTTTCTGGCATCTTTGTGAGCCTTAGGTAATTGGCTGTATCCTGTAAACCCCGAGTCCTAGCTGATGGGAAATATAAACTTTCAGCCTCTTACATAATCTTTAAATGCACTGTGGCTGGCTCTCTGCTCTGTTAGGGGGTGGAGGGGGCTGTTTTG